ATCCAACCTAAGCCTCCCGTCTCACTTTAAAGCCCTTCCCCCTTGTCCTATCACCATCCACCCTCACAAACAGCCGTTCCCCCTCCTGTTTATCCGCTCCCTTCAAGTACTGAAGGCCACAATGAGGTCTCCCCACAGCCTTCTCTTCTCCAAGCTAAGCAAGCCCAGTTCCCTCAGCCTTTCCTCATAGCAGAGCTGCTCCAGCCCTCTGACATCTCAGTGCCCTCCTCTATCCCTGCTCCAAGAGCTCTGCATCTTTCTTGTACTGCAGAGATGTCCCTGAACTTTGGAAGGGATGTGAACTGTGATGCCCAGCACCTGCTCAGCAGCTCAGAAGAAATAACTGAGTGACCCTTATCAGCACGGATGTGTTCATATCAGCCTGCAGGGCAATAGATGAGAGCTAGAGAGGAGCGCAAGCACGGTGCGTATCTGTGCTGTAGGGTGTCTGCTTCTCTCTTGGAAGAAGAAAGGCTTGGCAAGTCACTTGACCAAAGTAACCAAAAATACACTGCTGTCCATCGTGGAGCACCAGGGCTGAGCCAGTGTTTCAGTATCACTATTACTCCTTGTTTGCTTTTCTCTATTACTTCCTCTTTACCTAAAGAGTTTTGCTAAATGTAGAAGCAAATTTGTATGGGAGCCAAAAGGTGACTTCATAACAGCCAATAAAATACTCACAGTTTTTAACAAATAGAAACGAACTTTGTGCCTTCCAGACCTGCTTGCAATTTCCAGAATGCATCTCAATGGCCCACATAAATCACAGACCCTGCGCTGTCCCAATGGTTAAAAGGGTCCTGACAACTTCTCTCTCCCTCCCAGTTAGGGAGACCTGTATGGGCTTTATAAACCCCAAAATTTGAAACTAAAATCAGTTATCACAATGAATCTCTAACCTCAAAATACACAAAACCTCAATAGTGGGGAATGGCTGTTTGTACTGGGAGACACCTTTTTATCTGTGTCTGCCTTTAAAGATACACGACAACCATTCACCAAAATCCTAACCTGGGTTCCTTTGCAATCAATCCATGGCAGTGATAATTAAAAAATAACCATAGAATCACAGAATATCCCAAGTTGGAAGAGACCCCAAAGGATCCAAAGTCCAACCAAGGACCAACCTCTTATCTTTACAACAATCCTCTAGCAGAAATGACTCCTTACAAACACAGCCTCAGTCCATCACTGAGCCTTATCCAGGCTGGGAGTGTTTCCCTGCATCCCAAGGACAGCCTGAAACACAGCTCCTGGAGCCACTGCCCTCTGCTCCCAGTGTGTGGGACAGGCTGAGCGCTTTATGGAGGGATGGCCTCGCTTGGCAGAGCCAAAGGTTGACTCCAGGTTCAAGGTCTTGAGAAGCCTCCTTGCTCTGAACCTCCCTATGTTCCGTAGATGGGTTTGGGCCGTGCCTGCAGCTCTGCCAAGAGAAGACCTGCAGTTTTCAAGCAAAAGCTGTTGCAAAGAAGCACTGATGAACCTACCTGGGATATGGACCGCAATCCCACAGCAACGACCAACTGCTGTGAGGGCACCACCACCTTCTGACCATCAGAAATACAGTTATTACCTGTTGTGTTGCAGAGCATTTCTAAAGCAGGAAGATTTATTTAGCAGAATGTACTTTGGACCATTTGTGTGGCTTGTTTGCTTTCTATACTGCACTCATCCTGAGCAATGCAAACAGACAGCTGTACTTTTGAGGCCTGGTTCCATCCTTTGTTTTCCGCGTATACAACATCTCTGCCATCAATTTAACTTTCCAGATATTCATCAGTACTCTAATACTTGAAGTGCAAGGAACATACATCCAAAACCACAGCAAATAAAAAGAAACCAGAAAAGTTCTCTGCTCCTCCCCTGTGTGGCTTAATATTCTGTCTCGGTGCACATCTTTCCAAGGAGGGAGGCTGTGGATGCCCCATCCCTGCAGGCATTCAAGGCCAGGCTGGATGTGGCTCTGGGCAGCCTGGGCTGCTGGTTGGTGACCTGCACACAGCTGGGGGTTGGAACTGGGTGAGCACTGTGGGCCTTTGCAACCCAGGCCATTCTATGATCCTCTCCAAAGAGCACCATTTCACTCTAGCCATTACATTCCAGTGTACAGGTGTGGGACTGCCAAAAGAAGCAGAGCACACCTTCCATGGAGTGTCACTTGCACTGGGCACACTGCTCCACAGCACATCAGAGCAGCAGCCAGGCTAAGCAGGGCCAGCATCCCTCTCTGCCACGCACCCCAGCCAGCTGCCACCCCCAAGCTGCTTTATCCCAGCCCAGCTTTGGGGGTTTCGCTCTCAGTCAAGCAGAAACAGTGAAGCATCTCATTCAGTTTAGGCTACAAAAGCACAAGGAGACAAACAGGGATGCAAAGACTGAGGTGAGACTGCAGCTGGATCCTGCAACACACAGCCTCACCGCCCTGCTCCGCTCCCTGCCTCCATACACACAGCTCCTGCTTGCTGCATGATAAAAAGGAAATAGAGCAATTGTGTAACACCTCTCTTTTTTTCTTTCCTCTTTAACCTGAGACACAAACTGCTTTTGTGAGAGGCTCTGAAAAACAGCCCTGCTCTGGTTTATTTGCGCTTGGCTAAGACCCACTTTTCTCCTGGCTGTACCCACAGCCTCACACCTCCCCAGCCTCGGTGCTCCTGGCCCTGGGAGCACTGGGATGCTGCTCTCACATAGGGCTGGGGGTGCTGCATAGGGCTGGGCACAGGGAGCACAGTGGGTCCCTTCCTACAGAATCACAGAATTGCCAGGGTAGGAAGGGACCCTGGATCATGAAACTCCAACCCCCCTGCCACATGCAGGGCCACAAACCTCCTCATTTCATACCAGACCAGGCTGCCCAGGGCCCCATCCAACCTGGCCTTGAACACCTCCAGGGATGGACGGGGCATCCACAGCCTCTCTGGGCAGCTGTTCCAGCACCTCACCACTCTCTCTGTAAAGAATTTCCCCCTGACGTCCAACCTAAATCTCCCCTCCCTCAACTTAAAACCGTTTCTCCTCGTCCTGCAGTCCTACTTGGGACATTCTGTGATTCTATGACTCCATCACCTTCAACTCCGCTCGTTCCAACAATTCTTACTTCTTTTTCAGCTTCTGAGCTGTGTGCTGTAAGGCTCTGCTCATGCGCTTTGCTATGCGGCTTTTTAGACTTTTAATTTAATTAATGGCACCTTTCCAAAACGTCCAGAACTGCCATTTTTCAACCTAAATGGAAAGCCTCCAGAAAGATACCAATTAATTCTTCTGCTGCAGCTCAGCAAAGTGTGGGCTTTACGTGAGTCTCAATGCATTCCCCAACATGCATTATGCAGGAAGTCCCATTACTGGAAATGTTCTCTCTGTGCTTATAAATCCTCAGGTGATGGCACGGCTCAGTTGGCTGCAATGACAATTCACAGGCCCAGAGCTTCACCCATTGCACTGGGACATGGCTTGGACCTTAACAGGGACACAGTGGGCATGGCAGGGATGGTTGGGGGTGGACTTGGGGATCTTAGCAACCTTTTCCAACCCAAATGATCCTGTGATGCTGGCCAAACAACCTCAGTAAGCTCCCACTGAGCACACCAAGCTCACTTCAGGAGGAGCAGCTTGGAGAGGGAAGGTATCAGGGCAGATGGACGCACACAAGGCCTTTTTAATTACATGAAGCTCCACGCAATTATGAACCAGGAATTCTTGTCAAATCCCTGTTTGCTAAGGAAAAAACCACTTGCGTTCTGCCCAGGTCAGAAAGGCTGCACCTGAGCTGGCACATACTGGAGGATGCACTGAAAAGGCCATGCATACATGTGTGGTATGCAGCTGACACTTCAACTCATCACCCAAACCATCCATCAGGGAATGCAAAGCAATTAAGTACCCTCAGCTTGAGGGAAGGGAGGAGCTGGAATTTGCTTTCTCAATCAGCCTGTGCTGTTTGCAAAGGGGCCCATACAACTCCCACTGCTAATCACAGCCCCATCAAAGCAGGGATGCACAGCCAGCACCTGGTTTGACATGGGCATATCTCAGCCCTAACACAGAGGCTTTGGAACACCTTTTGAGCACCCAAAAATCCGAGCTCTTTGCTCAGAGTTTGCATGAAGTTCACTATTCATAATGTTGCACACACCACTGATTGTAGTGGGACGTTCTTTACAGAATCACAGAATGGCCTGGGTTGCAAAGACCCACAGTGCTCATCCAGTTCCAACCCCCTGCTGTGTGCAGGTCGCCAACCAGCAGCCCAGGCTGCCCAGAGCCACATCCAGCCTGGCCTTGAATGCCTGCAGGGATGGGGCATCCACAGCCTCCTTGGGCAACCTGTTCCAGTGCCTCACCACCCTCTGGCTGAAAAACTTCCTCCTCATATCCAACCTAAACCTCCCCTGTCTCACTTTAAAACCATTCCCCTTGTCCTATCACTATCCACCCTCGTTCCCCCTCCCGTTTATGCTTCCTTCAAGTATAACCCAAGAGCACAAACTGAAATATGCTGTGGTCCTATCACATCACAGGCACACTCACTTGTCTGTGTTTGCACTGAACTGGGTTCTGTTCTCAGTTATCCATATAGAAAATCAGAATGGGCTTTGGGAACCGACAGCAAAAACTAATTAATTTTCCTTTTTTTTCTTTTTCGGGGGGAGGAAATAAGTGCTGCAGGCACTGAGGACAGCAGTGCCCGCTGAGCTCAGTCCTCTGTGCTGGGATCCCGGGGTGTCCCGCAGCCCTCACCGTGTCGCTCCGCTCCGCGCTCTGTTCCCATAAATGGAGCAGCACGTCAGGCTGGCCGTGAGAACCCCGCCGGGCTAAGAATAACAGGGCACGCTCCCGAGGAGAGAAGCGACAACAAAATCAAGGAGCTCTGCCTCTCCCTCGGCAACGTGACCTAATTGGAACGCCACGGAAAAGAAAGCGACGCGTGTTTGAGGGAGATAAGAGGTCGGGAATGGAAGTTGGATGGGCCGTAGGAGCCCCGCCGCCCGCCCGCAGCTCACCTTCACGAAGAGCTCGATGTCGGGCTCCTTCCCGTCCCCGTTGGCAGCGGAGGGCTCTGACATCTCTCACCGCGGGGCCGAACTCCCGATGGGGACGGGGACAGCCGCGCTCCGGGCGGGTTTCCCTTCTAAAACATCTTCTGCGGGGAGCGGGACTCGAAAGCAACGCAGCAGGAGAGCCGGCAGGTGAGCGAACGGAGGAGCGGAGCGGAGCGCTGCCGCGGGGCTGCGGAGCGGCGGCCGCTGAGCGCAACAAGTGCGGCCGCGGGAGCGCATCTGTCAGAGAGCGGCTCGCAGCCCGAAATAGTCCCAGCGTGAAGCGGAGGGTGGGGTTTGGGTTCGGGGAGGAGACAGGCCGTGGTGCCTCTGGCCCAGCTCCACGGCTCGCCCCGCAGCGCGATGGGAACGGGGTCGGGGCTGCGAGGTGGGAGTGCGGGGCGCTGGGGTGGGGTTTTGTCCCTTCTTTTTCTGATGGGCGTTTTGCCGTTCACTGTTCAAAACGTCAGTATTGCTATTGTTGTTATTGCTGATTGTCTCGGTGCAGAGGGGCAGCACTCTGCGTGCAGCAAGCCCCATCAATAGAAGTACAGAGACATGCAGAAGCCCGGCTGATAACCGCACCTGGGAAGAGCAGCCCGGTGCTGCTGCTCCTGGGAGAGCTGAGTGGGGAGTGGGAATGGGGCTACGCAGAGGAACAAAGAGCTGCGGGGGGAGCAGCACGAGGGTGCCCCATGTCTTGGTTCGGCCTCAGGCACTGTGTGGGGACAGCAGGGTGGTGGCACAAATGGGAGAAAACTTATTTTGTGGATGCCCCATCCCTGCAAGCATTCGAGGCCAGGCTGGATGTGGCTCTGGGCAGCCTGGTCTGCTGGTTGGCGACCTGCACATAGCAGGGGGTTGGAACTGGATGAGCATTGTGTCCTTTGCAACCCAGGTCGTTCTATGATTCTAGAATTCTATGCTTCTTTAAGGTTTCAGCTTCTGACTGACACGCTGCCCATCACCTGATGTGACTCACAGGGCACTGTGGTGACACAGATGACACCGACACCCAGAGCGGGAGGTGACACTGTGGGGTGACACAAGCAGAAGGGCACGGCAGGGCTGAGTGGCACCTCCTGCTCACTGCTGTCACACCCTCAAAATGTCCCTTGGGTCACAGCTCCTCGCCCCATCCCTGCTCTACTTTGGAACAAATGCAGAACAGGAAACCCACACCTATGGCACACAGCAGATTCACCTTCCCTGCCTGACACCTAGAAAGCTTTTAGAAACGTTCTGCCATGACCAGCAGGCTGTGGTTGCTCCAAGTGCCCCCACCTGTGAGCTCCATGCTCACCCCTCACTGCCCCGGTGCCAACCAGCACCTCTGGAGCACTGCAGGTGAAGGCAATGGGGATTCCAGCTGTGTGTCCCTGTGGCACACAAATGGTTAACCAGGCGGTCTCGTTATGCTGCTGCAACTGTAATTACAACACAATCAACAGGGTAATTAGTGTAAAAGTGTGCTTATGGTTTGTAGATCTAATTAGCTCTCATTCAAATAACTGGAAGGTTAACTGTAAGAGAATTAAGGGTTATTAGCCCTTTGATTTCAGATGCTACATGCAATTCTTGGACTAGATACATTACCAAACATTTATGCTGCAATTATTCTTATGCCCACAGGCAAACTTCCCAGGACATGGGCTGAGCACACTTACATGCAAGAAGAAGAATCACTGCACTACCATTATGGATTGCAGCTTTAAACATCAGCCAATGCTGTAAGCACAGTCACTGCACCTCTAAAACGTACCCCTAAGTACTGTCCTGTGGTCTGCACGAGAAGGAGCTTTGCTGAGCAAAGGATGCTCCATCCCTGCAGGTGTTCAAAGCCAGGTTGGATGGGGCCCTGGGCAGCCTGGGCTGCTCTGAAATGTGGAGGTTGGTGGCCCTGCCTGTGGTGGGGGGTTGGAGCTTCATGATCCTTGAGGTCCCTTCCAACCCAAGGCATTCTGTGTGTGTGTGTGTGTGTATGTGTTTGAGCAGGAAGGCCATCAGTGCCAGCCCTGCAATGCACAGGGACACCACAGCTCCATCAGAGCTCAGAGCCCCGTCCCCTGGCCTTGGCTGTGTGCAGGGATGGGGACATTCAATAAGAAGGCGGCATCCAAGAACAATCTGGCTCACCTCAAAAAGCTGGAGCCCTTCTTTGTACAAATGCTGTGTTCTTGACACAGATTCTGAATTCTTGATCTAAGGTAAACATGGCAGGAGGCAGAGTAAGAGGCAGTATACACATGTGTAACGCCTTGGGAATCTATTCACGCATTTTCTGTTTTGCTACCATCTAAGACGGACTTATCACTTACATCTGGGTGCAACCTTTTTGACTAGAATGGTTATCATTGTCTGCATGGCTCTGCTCTGTGTTACGAAATCAGCTCTTTCTTCCATCAAATTGAGGCTAAGACACTGATAAATAATTCGTACACTCTCATTTTACTGCGAAGAATGAGCCGCTCCGCTTGGCCTATCGCTTTCTTGCAAGTCAGAGGCAGTGCAGGCTTTGAGTTACCCACAAGAACATGATGTACTGAATTCTGAACTCTCCATAGGCCAGGTCACTATAGTTTGAGGCTTATGAGCGATATAAATATGAGCACATCACAGCATGAATAAATGAGGACAGCCGTCAGAAAAGGAGCCGTCACCTCCCCACGTAAGACCTCTATTGTAGGTGCCCCGACACACTATCAGCTTTCACTGCCCTGATCCAGCCTCACTTCCAGCAAAGATTTGTCCCCAGGGGGTGATGCAGAGGCCAAGCATCCCGTGTACCTCTATCGTGGAGCTCTCACCAAGAGGTATGGGTTCTGAATTATGGTCATTTGCAACTGCGTTCACTGTGTGTGGCTATCTTTGATGCAGCACTCGTTTAACAAATGGGAGCGACTTTGAAGCCAAAATTAAAAGGGATTAATTGAATAATTTTGATTTTCTTTTGAATTATATATCTTTGTCAAGATCTTGCTTGACCTTCAGAGACATCCACAAGGATTTGTCTCAGATACTTGGGGTCAGTCTGTGCTCCCCTTTGCTGCACAAGACGTGCAGGGATGTATGAAGTGCTTCTTAGCCTCCAAGCAGGGCTGGCTGAGCAGACATTTCCGCCAGCCCCAGGGATGCACAATGCCTCAACACTTGTTGGTTTGGCAGAACGAGGAGGAGTGGTGATTTTGTTCCCTCTTCTACGTCGTGCCATGCTCAAGGATATAGAATCATGGAGGCATTCTGGTTGGAAGGGACCTCCAAGATCCCCAAGCCCAACCCCAGCCACCCCACTGCCCACATCCCCCAGTGCCACATCTCCAAGGTCCTGGCAGCCCTATGGGGAGGTACCCCCAGCACTCCCTGTGCCATTGCCCCATTGCTCCTTCTGAGAACAAATTGCTCCTGATATCCAACATGGAACAGAAGGCGGCGATACAACAGCTGTGCAGCCTGAGTGTCCCAAGAAATGGATGTGATGGCAAAATCTGAGCCAGAAAAACTTGGCAGCCCCCTTAAATGTCAATTTTCAGATCTCTGACTGTGCATCCACCCCCCAGGCACTATAAACCCTATGTAGCCATAGGCTGCAGCAGCTCTCCTTTTACCAGACGATGGAGATGCACGAGTGCAGCTCCAATGGCTGCTCACCAGGAAGGGCGGATGCTTCACCACTTTGCTCTGCAGAGCAAGTTCTAGGCAAGGAGTACCACGTGATTTTTCTATATAATTACATTTTCACATGGATTCAGTATCAAACCTCGCTGCAACATTAATAAATGTTAACAGCTTCGAGAGAAAAACTCACTGCTGTTCAGTGTGAGGAGGGATTTCATTATGGATAATTATCTCAGCACTTGCATTCAGGCAGCCACAGCGAACCACTCGCAGGGAAAGAGCTCTTAAAATGTACAGAACCATCTCCTAACGCTGCATTCAGTAAAAAGGCTTTGAGGGGACAGAGGTCTCTGCATTTTCTATCAGCCCCCAAATCACTGTTTCAATTCAAATCAAGAGATTTTTCTGAATGGGACTGGGAGAGCTCTGCAAGTGGCACTGCGGGGGATGCAGTGGAGAGCATCACAGATTGCCCACAACTGTGGGCTCTGTGTAACACAGCAGATGAAAGGAATGGAGACATCCTTGGCCCCTGTTTTTCAAAATGAATCCTCTGTAATATTATGTGTTGTGGAGAGATACAGCACCAGGTGAGCCATATACCCACTGCTGTTGACTCACTGATGTCGTTGAATGAAAACTGTGTGATTTTACTTACAGCTGCAGCAGAGCAAACAGCACATATCTCCGCCTTCATTTCCAAGTGCTCAAGTGTGTATATGGTAAATAAGCATTTAGGTTATTTCTGCTCACTTCTTGGTGTGCTTCTTGTCAGAAATTACGTCTAAATTAACTATAATGTGAAGCGGATCTACACAGCCAGGATGAAATCCCCCAAAGCAAAGGGTTGGCACACAGCACTGCTCCAATCCCAATTAATGCATTATTCGTGCAGAGAAAAGGTTCAAAATGCCACGTACACACAGATCTCAGGCTGGGTTTCCACTCCTCCCAGTAAACAAGGCCCAAAGATGGCACAATTGCTGCTGATTCCTTTGGAGACGTTTGTGCCTCGCTCTGATGTTTAGTGAACAATTTGGCTGAGAGCAGAAATTGCCTTCTGTGTCGATGCACTTTATTTCTGCAAGGCGAGGCCTCCGCACCTTGCTTTCAGATTGTCCATGACTCAGAGCAGCTCCCATGGTTGGAACACTGCTGTTAGAGGCATTCAGCTGTGCCAGCCAAACCCAATGTGCTCCAAGTGTGCACCATCAGGCTGAAGAGCGGGGCTTGTGGCTGTTGGCTCCGTGCTAAAGCCATCCTTAGATCCCAGTGAACAGTATGGGCAGATTCACAGCTCTGTAGCAGCAAATGTAAGCAGAGGCAGAGCCATACGCTGACCTTAAGCCTTGCAGCACAGTCTGCAACCCTCCTGTCCTCCTCGGGAAATTGCCCTCATTCATTTTTCATTTCACCTTTTGGTACTTCTGGGCTAAAGTTTCCATCAAGTTTGCCAGTGACCAAGCTCACTTACCTGGAGCTGTTATTAAAAGAAGGGTGGTTTGGTTTTTGTTTCCTTCAGTGCAAGGGTTCAATGTCTTGAAGCACCTGACGTTGGCTTGGTTAGATCTCATTTTAATTTTTGCTTAAGACGACGTAAATGGAAGCGGTGTGGTCAGCTGGGCACAGACATGAACCCCTCTTCTGCAGCTGTGCTTACAGGTTGTTCACATTCCCTGGTGATAACTGCCACCATGCACAGGTCCTTAGAGCTTCTGAGGCCACATCCCTGCTGTGTGCAGGTCGCCAACCAGCAGCCCAGGCTGCCCAGAGCCACATCCAGCCTGGCCTTGAATGCCTGCAGGGATGGGGCATCCACAGCCTCCTTGGGCAACCTGTTCCAGTGCCTCACCACTCTCTGATGGTCCCTGGTCACTGCTGTGATAACTGGAAGCAACCCCATAGGTGACTGAATGGCCAAAGCCCAGAGCTGCCCTCACTGCTGTGTCCTCAGTGACAATTATCATAGAATCACAGGAACATAAGATTGGAAAAGTCCTCTAAGATCACCAAGTCCCACCCCAACCCATCCCACTGTGCCCACTAACCACATCCCTAAGTGTCACATCTACCCTCTTACTGAACACCTTCAGGGATGATAGCTCCCAAGAGATCTACATTAGTTTGAAAAGTCTTAATGGGATATGGAGCCCTTATTGGGCAATTTCAATCCATCCTTGGCCAAGCTGCAAGTGAG